TCCAGAAATGCGGTCATTCGCTAAGAAAATGCTGAGCTTATTCGGCTCCACATATTTGTGTGAGCAAACATTCTCAGTCATGAACTTAAACAAGAACCGATTGAGGTCAAGGATGAGTAACTCCCAATTGCGTGGCATTTTACGCATCTCAACCACTGCCCTCAAGCCAGACCTGGTATCACCCTTCTCATTAGTGTCAGCAAGCTATCTGTTCCTTGATCAATCTGAAATTGAGTGTTTTGAACGGTAACATCTGTCACTATTAACAGTGAAAAGCCTAAAGCACACTAATGCACTTGGACTTATGGCTTATGGCACTTGTTTTATTAAACTCTTGAATAATATTTGGTTATAACTGTTGATGTTATGTACCTGTAGATGTGACACAAACTATTGCTTTCTGAAAGATCTTGTAAAAGACAAGGGCAAAATTCACTTGTTTTAAAGTTTAATGATAACAGACCACTTTGCTTTACTTATAACTCATGTTTAAAATGTTCATGAGGCAAAGATATTTAACTCATGGAAATTTAAGGTATTCTATACAGTTTATTCAATGTTATCTGACTGAATGAAAGGCAGAATTGTGTTTTTAGAGTTGTTCACGTCTGCCTGAGTGGCTTATATTTGGTTACATTGTCATTTGAAAAACAAGTATAACCCGTAAAAACAAAGTTTTTCACTATAAATCCTTTATATGCGTGGCGGCTAGAGTCCTCTCGTCCTCTGGCTTGAGATGGCTGCCACCTATGGGTCAGATGATCGGAGAACCATTAAGCAATTGGTAATTAAATATAATATTTTTGTCCTAAAAAGTGTAAAATTTTGGAATTTTCTTTTTCACGAACATTAATTGTCACGCACAACGAGTCTGTGTGGAAAATGTCAGCTCGATTGGATCATGGGAAGTGGGTTAAAAAACGACCGAAAGATTTGCACTGTCGTAAGCAAGCAAGCGAACTTAATATAAAGGCTTTAATAAAGGTAATTGTGACAATGAAAATTGTTTTATAACACTGTGTATTTTCACGTAACTTTTGTGGTTAAAAAAATGTCAGAAGGAACTATTGGCCCCCGGGCATCTTCACTTTATCAAATTTGGCCCTCTATGCAAAAAGTTTGGACACCCCTGCAGTACAATATCTTGAAGTTGTGTGCGTGGCAAGTGGCCCGGTATATATATATATTTACTAGCTTTACTACCCGGCTTCGCCCGGGACTTTGATTCACCATGCCCGGCCGCCTTTGTCTCCCCAGAGGCGATGTTCACACACCACACCAGTTACTCGTTTGAGGCTGAGTCGACCTAGGGGAGGCCCAGGACCGGTTCAAATAATCGTCACCGATGTTGGCCGTGAGCGGGAATCGAACTCAGGTCGCCGGCTTCGTAGTGCAGCACGCTAACTACTACACTAACGCTACCCCCACACACAAACGCGTGCCCCACACACAAACGCGCGCGGGTCAATAGGTACACATACACGCGCTTGCTGCAGACACAACTTTCAGGGTGCGTACGGCAGTAAACGACTGAAATAATAAAGCAACGCTGCGCGAAGAACGCCTTCGACCCACAACATTTCTATTTCACTTTACCCGCGATCAGCAGGCACACTCCGTTACGCTTCCGCCCACGGGTCACATGACAGATGTGACATCACAGCTCACTTGCCGTGCAAAATATATGCATCATTGCGCCCCTCCCAAAAAAAAGTATATTTTTTCTAATTTTTGCATGGTGTACAGTCTGGAAAGTACCCACTTCAAGTTTGTTGCATGTCGGGAAGTACGCTAAACATTTTGAACAGACATTCACAAATTTACCTTTTTTTATATATATAGATGTGTAATGATAGAGCGCCATCTTCTGTTTGGTTGATGCTTACCTTTGTCTTATCTGTTGTACGGTTTATATCTAGGGGAAAGGTTAATGGGAGGAGCCAGCCCGGAAGCTGCAGGAGGGGCGTGGCCAGAGGCGGGGCTTAGCCCCGCAAACAATATAAGCGAGGGGGGGGGGCATTACGTTTGGGGTCGGTGATTGAAGATTCAAGTTCATTTATTAGGTATAGCCCTGTGAGCCATTCGGCTCTTGAATCGGGTGCAAACAGAAAATCCAAGAAAAGACAGAAAAATATTGCAGAAGGAAGAGCTACACGTCGCTGCTGCCCCGCCATCTCCACCGACCACGTGGCGGCTCGTCTACCAGCCACCGCCCGCTCTCGGCACGCCGCCAGCCAGCGGCGAGGTGGAGAGTGGGTGAGCGCCACGTGGCGCGGGGCAGCGCAGCTCGCGGAGAACAACACGCCATCCGCGAGCGAGAGAGGGAGAAGTCGGCTGTAACCAGAAGCTTTAATAAAGAAAGAATAAGTAAAGTTTCATTGCCGTCGGAGACTTACATATGTAAAGGGTGTTGTGTGCAATTTACGAAATGGTTAATGGTGTTATATTGCCGCTATGTTCATTTCACTAAAGGTAAATTAACTATTCTGTTATGACGTAATCATACTCTTTCAAGCAACACTAAGCCTATAGCTATCACAATGGTTGAAATTATATTGCTCTTTTTCATAGATTATATGGTTAATTCTTCGCCAGTAATGATTAGTTCTGCACAAATCAACGTTATAAAAATCGAATGACAGGCATGTTCTGCAACTTTCGACATTGATATTTTCGGGGTTAGTTTTGATTTGAAGCTTTCGTGAATGCAGGGATCCATACTCTTTGGTTCTTTCGGTGACGTCACGTAGGTAGAAAAAATAATAGATCACGATGTTTCGATCGGAATGCAAGCAATCGTCATCAGGCGGAAGAGGGAAGCTGCTGATGCAGGCTGCTCTTAAAGGTTAGAGATGGGCGTAGCCCCAGTCATAAACGAAGTGGGGGGGGGGGGGGCTAGTGATGTTAAAGTGAGAAATTTGCATATGTACTGTGGAAGTGTGATTAGCATGTCAATGTAAGCTCGCAGCGCGCCGTCACATCGAGGACTGCATGCACCACCTATCCAGTGAACTGGAGCACATACGCCAAGCCCTCAAGATGAATGGAAATTCGGACTGCACAATCCGCAGCGCTTTATCCCCAACCATGGATAGAGAACCATCTGAGGACCCAATCAAAACCATCACCTTGCCATACATAGCAGGGGTTACCAAAAATATTTCCAAAATCTTGAACAAACACAAGATTCAGGTTCGATTCAACACAGTACACAATCCGTAACCTGGTCCCAGCTGTGAAATGTGATTCCTCACATGCAATACCCTGGTGTCTACAAACTAAGTTGTGTCTGCGGTAGCAGTTACATTGGGGAAATGAAACGACATGTCTTGGACCATGTTTGCGAACACATGACAGATTTGAAACGCGGCAGAACCAATACCTATGCCGTGGTTGATCACTGCTTGAACGTGGTGGGCTCACACAACATTGTTTTTTTCCGAGACCAAGGTACTCTGCAAACCTTCGGGCTAACATCAAGGATTCGTTCATAAAGCCATCCAGATATTTAAACAGACATTTTCAACCGAGAAGATGGGAACAAACTGAGCAATCATTGGAAGGACGTTATTAACCAGTTTAGGTCATAACTGACGGTGATGTTCCCTTCCGACCTACCTATGTTAGCAGTTATACTGGTAGGAACCACCTGCTTCCACCAGCCCACAGGGGATTATTGTGTTCGTCCGTCGTGCATCCAAAAATGGGAGGGGCTGGGTTGGGAGGGTGGGGAGGGGCTGGGTGGGGCTGGGTGGGGCTGGGTGGGGAGGGTCTGGTCACCCCGTGGTGCCCTGATAAAACTCAACGTTTAACCTACTCACGCCGGCTTGTGCTCGCCCTCACAGTCGGCCATATTTGCGGAATACACACTGCCGTTGACCCTGGCCATTGACAGAGCAACCCAACGTTCCTACCAGCTCCCGCCGCAGGAATGTGTTTTGCGATTCTGAGTTACATTCACTAACACAGCCACCGTCATTTGCTTGCTCCGATGTGGCTGTGGTTCTTTCCGAGCTTTTTCCGATCTTACGTTTACATGCAGTCCTGCGAGCTTACATTGACATGCTAATCACATTTACACAGTACATTTACATGTAAATTTCTCACTTTAACATCACGAGCCCCCCCCCCCTCCCACTTTGTTTATGACTCTGGGGCTATGCCCATCTCTAACCTTTAAAAGCAGCCTGCATCAGCAGCTTCCCTCTTTCTTCCGCCTGATGACGATTGCTTGCGTTGCAATCGAAACGTTGTGATCTATAATTGTTTCTACCTACGTGATTTCACAGAAAGAACCAAAGAGTATGGTTAGTTTAGTCTTGTGCTATTCTTTCGTCCCGTCTCACCAAGCTAGAATTTGCCTCCTGAGCGAATAACCCACCTGTCGCTAGTATCGGGAGTTTATCTTTAGTACCAGGTATCCGTTTTTGTACTTCGTGTACTCTGGCATATCCCACTCTGATTTTTTTTTTATTAGCTGGTTTATCAGTTAACGCCCCCAATCTACGGTAGTTTAATTGTATTATCAATTTCATTGTTTGTACTACATGTTTTGGTTTTGGCACTCACTGCCATTTTAATTTGTGAGTTATTGTAACCGTTTAATTGTAGCGCTTTGATGTGTTTAATCTTACTTCTCAGACTTTCATAACTTGACACCTGTTTTTCCCGATGAATGACCATCTTGATGAGAGAGCTTTTCTGTGCAGGGTGATCGTGTGCAATTTATTTCTGTACACGCTGTTATTTTGCAGTTTGGGCCACCTCCGATCAAAATATCCAGGAATTGGGTTTCCTTCACCTCCACTTTCACGGTAAACTGGATGGGTTTTGCGAGTTGAGATGATTTAGACATTAATTCAGTGTAATTTTACCGTGGGGCCCAGACAATCAATGTGTCCTTCACATATCTAAACGAACGAGAGGGTTTAGTGTACTTGAAGCTCGCGCTTTTGCTTCAAAAATTTCCATGTGTAATGAGCGACTTCCACGACACGTCGTATAGAGGGTACTTTATTACTCACACTGGGCACAACACAGGCCAACACTGGTTCTTCTTCCCACTGAATATACTCTAGAGTCTAGACAATAACACCTCTATACCGGCTACACGCACAGCCGATCACTCGGCATGGTCCCCTTGCCCTCGTCTCCGCCGCTGCCTGGCGGCGTGACAACGGCGATGGAACCCACGCAGGAGATCTTCCACGTGGCCGGACGAGCAGGTTCCCGGAGCATCTCGGCCAGCTCCACCTGTGACCTTTGCCCCAGATACACCTCCTTCCCTAATTGGTTGTTACCTGTGGCCATTCCCGTGAATCCCTTCCCGGGCCAGTAGGTGTCACCCTGTCATTTCACATAGGTTATCAGAAGACAGGAGAGCACATTGCTGCTGCTTTTCTCCGTAAAAATCGCCTCTCTACGGGAAATAGGTGTAGTTTATACAATGCTCAGCTAATTGTGGGATCTTTGGGTAAACTTTTGTTTCAACCAGAATACCGAGTATCTTTATTAGACTCGTTTACTGGAACCTTAGTGACCAGAGAAATTGCACCAACATTTACCGGAATATCATTAGGGTTAAGCTTTATATATTTTATTATATTTACAAGATGTTCTGAGTTTTTTATGACCGAACAGGACCTAATGTGGGCTGTATTTGTTTTGTTACATTTGCGCTGATTTATGTGGCAGAGCTGATTGTACTATTGGTCTTAATGGGCTACCACATTGGTATACCGGTCGTGGGTTCGACCCAGACCATGAAGCCTGTATATATGGATTTTACATCTCTCTCCCCATAGTCACGTGGATTTGTGTCTTGGTCCTCCAGTGTTTTCCTCTACATTTAGAATCAATATGCGTTTAGAGTATGTGGCTGCTATACATTTTCACATGATAAGCCACTTCGTTGAGCTATCATTTGTGGCTAGGTCGCTTCTCAAAGAGAGCTTTATAGCTCAGTGGAGCCTTCCCTGGTAAAAAATTTTAAAAGTTTAATGAACCTTTGGCAAACCGTAAACCCCCAGTGATTTTGGCGCCGTTTGTTTGATCATGTATTCCTCCTCCTTGGGAATTAATGGTTTGGCAATCATTGCAGTTCTCTTCAGTTCCAAAGGACTGGTTAGGTCTCATCCGGTAAAACTCTAGATTTTGTTCCCATAATCCCCACGGGACATCATACATGTTAATTGGCCTTTGTTTTAGACTTTTGCCTCACCTAAAGTAATGTTTTTGGCAATTTACTGTTTTCAATTATTTTGGCAACCTCGTGCCCAGTCATCTCAGCTTGATTTTCAGAATCAGAATCTTTGTTTATCCTGGAGATTCAACTTAAGCAATTATCGCAATAGCAATTTTGCATGGGGAAACAGCAAAGACCTTTAGATAGGTCGAATATCATATCGCTGGTTAATTCATTGTTAGTCATGTTAATGACCGTATTTTTAATGATTTTTAATTGAGTCTAATTAAATTTGGTAAGTTTATGACATATTTCCATGATCTAACTAAAAAAATCATGATTTTTAACCCCATTTACAGGAATGGAAGAGTTATGTCACCACGACAAACAGAAGGGGAATCGGATATGGAGACGCGCTTTATCCAAATTATTCAGAGCAGTGACAGAATGATTCTGAAATTTGGATTCGAGAAACAGGAATAATTATGAAAGGTTAAAACATGGACCATCGGGTTTGATTTTGAAGAGAGAATTTCCACTACTGGGGAGTGTAGATGGGAGATGAGCACTGCCCCAATATTGTCATGAGCATAGGCAGCGCTCATCTTTGGATTATTTAGATTTCTTTGCTGCTATAAAAATCCACATGATGAGACACTTTGTTGAACTGTCATTTGTGGCCAAGTTGCTTCTGAAAAATAAGTTTATACCTCAGTGGGCTTTACTTCGTATTATAAAAAGTGTAGTTTTATGCATATATATTTTTAAAGTGATTTGTTTACCTTTCCTATACTTTGCACTATCGTGTCTTTGTATAGTTTGTTATAACGTTTTGACCCACCATACTAGACATCTGCGATAAAGAGCTTTATGGCGGAACAGATTCCTCCAGGATAAATATTCTGATTCTGATTCTCCGCACATGGATAATATTATCTAGAGAGACGCTGAGAAGCAACCCCTCATTAAAATAACGCAATCAGTGGCAGCATAACATCACACCTGGTGTTTGAATAAGGTGCACCCGACTCATTCGCTGAGTGGAGAAGCCAATCAAATAGTCGTACAAACTAGAGGCCCCTTGGCCGCCAGTTTAAAATTGAGGTGGGCCTGGGAATTTCGAAAGGGGAAATTACCTATGTGTGCCAGCTTATTCTCTACACAAACGTGTAAGAAGAAATGATAAACCGTAGTCTATAATTTCTACACAAACCTAGCTAGGCTAAGTGTGAGGGCTGTCTCGGACGGCCCTCTGTGCGCGTGTCCCCAACTTATGCTGACGGAACGTACCTCTCGGATGCGGCGGACAGGATGGAGTAACACGGAATTGGGCCTATGGGAAGTGATGGCCCACAGGGACTCGTAGCCCCCCGTTTGATAGCCCCGTACTCACATTCCGTGACCTTACGTCCTTCGACCTTGCAGCGCTGTCCTATGCTGTGCAATGGTTTCGGCCCATACTCGGAAGGCCCTCCTCTTCAAGCTGACTCGCTACCTGCCAATATTTTACTGTCATTGTTGCCACTCATTGCGTAGCGCAACGGCCGGGGTCCATTCACGAGCGTGCAGACTTCCTCGCAATGTCTGCCCATATTTTGGTTTGGTTCTGCCCACGCATGGCTCCGCCACCGTGGGGGGAGTAATGGGATGATTCTCTCACACCTCCATTGGGTTGCATTCACCTCACTGCTCCCCCGCCTATCCCGCCCTATCCACTCCCATCCCTTGTCCTGGAGCTGCCCCATGGAAAATCTTGTCATGGCCTACGTGGCTGCCTGGCTCACATGTCGGGCTCACTTTGTATCTATCACAGCGACCGGGCGCTTCCCTCTTTGCACATCAGAAGAGCCAATTCTCTCCCCCCATAGGAAACCCTTGGCTGAGGTCACCCGCTAAGCTGCCAAGAAAAGAAACCGAGGTTTGATATTGGGGCTAACATTTTTGGTTGTACCCAGGTGTGGAATGCTTGGTGTGCTGGGGGTGTGTAGTGGAGGGGAGTCGTCTCTAAGTGGTTTCACGGTCTTGGCATCACACAACCAGCTTCATGGACGATAGTTACTGCACAGGCAAATTGTCTCAATTAGCGTCACCATCTTTTTGGATTTGACTTGGATAGACCAGGAATTGGCATTTGGGTTTGGGTGACAGGAATTTCTTTGTATTGAGATCTGGTGGAATTCTTTTGAACTCTATGACTGCACAGTTTTCCAGTATTGGTCTGTGGCAAAGGTGGCCAATCTCATTAATACAAAGTCCTGGAGACAGCTCAATCTGAAGACATTTCAGGACAATCCTATTTAGGGATGTTTGACAATTCTTAAATGTTTTCAGTAGGAGGAAAACAAAGTACCAACTTACATTGAATTTAATGATAAAAAAATCAACATCTCAACTTTTTTAAGAAACAACAAAAACACTTAATAGGATGACATAACCCCCCCCCCCCCCGCCTATTAAACTACAGGATCACCCGGCTCCTGTGCAAGCTCGCCGGACTCCTTCTCAGACTCTCGGTATGAGCAGCTGTCTTTCTCTGTAGCTACTTCACCCTGCTCCTGAATAGGTATCTTGTTTCTCGTCGTTTCGTCAATCGGGTAATGTGCTGACGTGAAATTGTCACCCTGCATGTCACCGTCGCTCGATATCTGTGAATGCAGGCTGGGCATGGTGCTGGGATTGGGTTGGGTCTCGGGCCAGGGCTGGGTGTCAGGGCGGGCCTGGTTGCCTGGGAGTGGTGATGGGGGCGTCGGTTGGGACGGCTGTGGAGGTTGGGGTGGCTGTGGAGTTTCGCTTGGCGTGGCGTTTGTTGGTTCTGGTGTCGTCAGCTGCACATCAACCTTAACATCCACGTTTGGAGCTGGGAAAAAAACACCAGTTTTTATTAACTTTTTGCTCACAGCTATGAATACTGTTTCATTATTAAAAGCAATGGCTTATGACTTAGTTCAGGGAATCAAGAAGCACTGGTTCAGATCAAGATGTAGAACCTATCCCCTTGAGGCACAATTGAAAAAAATAGTAATAGCATACTAATGATCCTAGTTTCAGGGATGTAGATGCATAGCCTAACACAAATGTCATCTTCATTACATGTACAGCCCTTTTGTTAATCCACTGCTCGATGAGGGCCTCCCACACCGTGCTGTTTGTGGGGGTTATTTGACCCAACTTCACCACGCCGGTCAATACAGCTTGGTGAAGGTGGGGAACACAGACATGGGAGAAACATTGAGTACATTTCACTTTTCTGCACTGCCCTCTGCTGACAATGTAGCCCGACAGGGACCTACGAAAGCTGTTTTACGCATGGTTGTAGCCCATTCATGCACTATCCAGGGTCAACCCAGCTTAGCGTCCAAAATCTGATGACACGGGGCACACAGTCATTTGAACGTAGGCATATTCACGAGTTATTCGGAGAGCCTCACAAACGTGCAAATACCTCCGTTAAAATGTTTACTAAGGTGCTGTGTTTTAGCCATTTTGTCAAAAACTACGTCCATGTAAATATTGTGGCTTGGCTCTCCAACACACCGGTGTGCTGTACTAGTGACAAATTGGTATGTTCTGTTTACGTGACAACCCTTACGAGTTGGCTGTGTCAGGTGGTGGCAGGTTTTAACGACACATTTATATATTTACGCGATCTAACCCAAAAAAACTCTTATGGATGGTAACCGGTAATCCTACAAAAAGATTTTAACAACCCAAGTCAATTTGTATAGTAAATCTATTAAGATGACTTTGCAACGTTCATGTAATTTTGTTAATTCCACTTAATATGAAAATGTCTTCGTATTGTTATGCTGCTCTGTCAGACCTAGTTTGTCACTCAATTCAAATGACTGTACCTTGAGGGTAGATGTTGGTGATGTTGATGTTAATAGACTGCTGCGGTGGGAACGGCTGCGGTGGGAGCGGCTGCTCTGTGCCGGGAGACGGTGGAGAGTCGTCCTCCGAATTTTCACGATCCGTGCTGTCATTGTCATCTGTCCCAGTCGCTTGTTCACCTCCTGAATTTTCCATCTGCAATGGCTCTTCTCTCTCCCTTGAGACCGAAAGTTTGATACTGCACAGAAACGGCAATATATTACTCTCCCACTAGAGCATTGTCAGTGATCATGGTGGAAGGCGACCTGTAAATGGCATTGGAATCCCACGATGCACAGCTTATTGATCTTAACGAGTGAATGGCACACCACTTCATCCCTTATGCGTCACTTACCCATCCCCTCCTCGTTTAAATTCATCGGTAATCTCAGCTGAGGTTTGGGCTGTCCAACCATCGCTGAGTTGTGTGTGATTTTGTTGGGGCTGCTCAGGGTTGGTACTGAACTAGAGGGAGGGAGGGGAGGGAGAGAGGGATGTGCAATTTCATTTTCTGAATGCGAATGGTAGCATCACACATTTAAAAGCCAAGTCACAGAATTACACAACCACCACGCAGAAAATGATTGTTTTGTACAGGCTATAAAAGCAGGACTATCTGGGGCTCAGTTATTTTAGGGAAACATATTCTCCTGTTGCTTATCTTATTTTGTGGGTGTTACCCATTGAGGAAAGAACAAAAAGTGTGTATACAGCCAGGTGACGCTGTTGGAAGAACGCTCAACTCGCAGTTGGAAGGATGGAAGTTAATATCCACATTGGCGTCAATTATACACGGCATTATTCCTTTGGGGCCAATCATAAAATGAGTACCACTTTGTGGAAAGTCAGCATTGTTTTTTACAGTGAGACTGACTCCTGCTATGCGAACGTGGAATTTCCACTGCTGGCTTACAGCCACAAACGGAGAAGAGTACTGTTCATATAACTAGCACCATCAGGTATCTCTTCATCTCTGTAAAAAGGTTTACGAAAAATTATAGCACTGATCAAGTTTTATCAGCTTCTTGTTAAGTCCTGATCAGCTAATTTTAAAGGAGTCAATTGCTTAGCAACACTGTAAAGTGGGTTTGTAAAAGTTTCTGACGCCTCAATTGGATGGGTCTTTGGTTATCGTGCCATTGGATATTGAAACAAGCGATGTTGCAATGTGTCTTGTGCGCAGTGGTGGGTGGCAGAGCAGCCCGATGCTTCATGGTTTCACGAATGCAGCAGTGTGTGGAGGCAGCGATGTTATGAATCTGGCCGTCAAGCCATGCATACCAGTTTGTTTTCCTCCTCGGAATTATTCTCCGCTAAGAGAGAACAACCGGACATTTGGATTTAAAGAAGACATTCTTAAGTAATATTGCAAGAATGAGTCCAGAAATTCATGTTATGTACAGAGGTGATTTAAACAAATCTACTTACGTTTCTTGAAAATGCATCGCAACTTATTTGGACACTTCCACATGATGATGATGAAAACAACGACAACAACGACAACAACGAAAACAACTGAAGCAACCTCGATGATCGGCACATATTCTGGAAAAGAAAATCCACCACACAAAAGCACACAGGTTAAATATGTTTAATTGTTAAATGTTCACTTTCAGAGTCAAAAAGTTTGGTGTCTGCTTAAATGGGCATTGGGGCCGTGTTATTGCCATTGAACTCAATGGAAATCCCCCATTTCTATGGCAGAGGCCAGTCTCTTGCTAGAACTCTGCAGGATTATCAAGTGTTACTAATTTTTGTTGATCCCAAGTCACCCCCTTACAGCAATTTTAACTTGTATCTCTCTAATTGTGAACCAGGTGCTCTGCTACAATGTAATTATAAGAAAAGCAAACGTAACTGTCCAGTCATTGGAAACTGAGCCGAGACCATCAACTCATGACTCAGCAGTGCCCGAGTGACCTACTACCCACCTCAGCCCGCATGTCTTTTTGCGCGTCCGCCTAATCGGCCCTGCGCCTGCTAGGCCACCCGTCTGTGACACTACTGAGTTATCACTTACTGGAGGGGTGTGTACACTCGACGTCCTTTGTGTTTTCCACGGGCAGCACTATCACCATCCCTTCAGACGAACAGCTGCGGAGAAACAACATTGAGACTTTTTACAGTCATCAAGCTCGTTATGAGAAAGTAATGGAATGAGTGGCAACTATATGCTTTAATATGCGTTATATCAACGTTCCTAATGTGTCTTCCTGATTAAATGAACATGGGGTTATGCTCATCTCCTCATTCATAGCCCTGAGCCAGTGATAAAAATGAACATTCTTATATTTTTATTGAGAAATGGGTTTGGTGATAAGAGTAGACAGATGAAGTTGCACTTGGATGCTATATTAATGTAAATTGTATTGAAGAGTGCAATAACGTTTAGACATAACATCTTCAAATGGTTTGACGGAAATTTGTGGCCATGGATGCATGTCTCGGACATAAATGTGTTGCACGTACTCGGTGTGGCGCTTGCAGGTGACGTTCCCGCCAGGAGAGTATGAACCAACCCCACATGTTCTGCATTCCACGTCTTCCAATAGCGAGGCTGCCATGCATGCATACACACACAAACAAGTTCAAAGATCACACAGGCACACACTGTCCACACTTGTGTGTATACACTAATAACAGGCATGATCCTCCATTTAGGATTACAAACCATAGAATAATTTCTGTTTGCGGACAGATGCTGTTGGCGAGCACCTTTTAAGGTCAGCACGGGGTGTGAAGTTAGTGTGACTAGTCCCATGCCCTGATGCTTTATTCTCCCAAGTTCTGCACAAAGTACTCATTTTATGCTGAGTCAACCTATAAGCAGCCTAAGACGGGTTCAGACACCATGTGCTATTAATATGCCTGGCCGGGGATCGAACTCGGGTCACCGGGACTGTCGTGCAGTGCATAAACCACGAGAACAACAACAGCCACCATTCGCCACTAAGTGGTGGCGTCACCACGGTGCTTGTGCCAGGCCAGGTGCACTCAAAAGCCACGTGAAGTTTTGAAGGCTCACTGACATGTCATGAGAGACCCAGGTGCAATGGGTTGACTGGTTTGGATCACTGGCAGATGCACCACATTTCCCCCCCACTGAGCTAACTTTAGCCACAAGGCGCTCCGCTCGTTGTGAGCATCACTCCATCTGCCCAATAGCGTCCTTAATGAGCCTCCTCCAGAGAGGCCAATCTTGATAAGTCCACTCAGCTCCACATCCTCCTATACCGCATCCGTCTATCTCCTCTCCAGCCCGTATCGTGCCCGTTAAGCTCCTATCAGGCAAAACAAGCTATTTGGGCATGTGATGGTTGGGCATGCGGGCTACATGACCCAGCCAACGCAGCCTTGCCCACCAGAGGTCACCGATGGGAATGTGTCCAGATCTTTCAAGCATTTGTGAGCTCATACAATTTAGCCTGGTTAAACCCAGGTTTGATCGTAGGCAGGCCAGCCTGAAAGTTTCAAACCAGTGCGGATATTCCATGAGAGGCCACATTTCGCAAGCAAAGAGAATGGAGTGCATCACTGGGTGAGACGATCCAGAGCTTCATGTGGAGCAATAGACCAGGTAGCTTCCACACAGAGTTACGCAGCCGATGAAAAGATGCCGCTTAGTTGATTCTGAGTGAGACGTCTGCTGGAAAACCGGTGCTGGTCACAAGCACACGACCAAGGTATGGAAACTTCTCCACTATCCACAACTGCCCCATCACTCATGGGGAGTTGAGGGGGGTGCATTATTGGATATAAAATACTGAGGCAGGTGCTTAGTTTTGTTGGGCCAATAGTAAGGCCCCGGATCTTAGTGGCAGGCTCCAGGTTCACTCAAAGTGAGCAGCAACCACCAGAACATCAGCGTCCATAACATGGTTGACCAGTAGGGAGCCATCCCTTGTCCACACCAGGGCATCGATCAGCCTCTCATTGTAGCAGACAGGAATTCCATTGGTATAACCATGGAAGGCTTTTCGGATTACGTGGTCGAAGATGTTAAATAATGTGAGAGCCGGAGGGTATCCTTGTTGCACCCCAACGTGAGCAGGGAAAGGCTCTGACTCCTAGCCAGAAAACTTTACCCGGGCCTGTCCACCATCATGAAGGTCCTTAATGATTGTGTGAATAGAGTCAGAGACCCATAAAGAATGAATTCAGAGCTGACCTCCTGATGGTAACATAGGCCTTTACCGGGTCAATAAAGCAGAGAATTAGGTTTGTCTGCTACACCTCTGCTATAGCAGACGGACAGAAAATATGGCATCTGTGAAGGACCCCCCCCCAACCTGAAACTACATAGGGGCTCCACAAGCCTATTGGTGTACCTGGCAAGGCGATGTTGATTAATCCTTGCCAGGACCTTACCCTGCACACTGAGGGAGATTCCCCAGTAGTTGTTACAATCTGTGCGGTCCCCCTCAATGGGGGAACCACCAATCCTGTGGTCTAAATAGTTGTGATATGTAGGCCAGTCTGCACATGGATGCCACCCTTCCTCAGTAGTTTGGGAGATCATCTCTGCCCGGTCCTTTTCCTGGTTTCAGACCTTGGATCGCCCTTCATACTTCCTCAACATATGAAACCTCACCTAGCCACTCACAGGGAGTTGCTACAGGGCCATCCCCACTTTGCCCAAATACCTCAGAAATGCTCTGTGAACCTCCAGACCTGGTCCTGGAGGTCAGAGATCAGATCACTGCTTTTTTTCTTCAAGGATGTATATATGTTGAACTTCTTTTGCACCATACATAGAAAACGAAGGTGCGGGGGAAGGATGCTGATAGGTGAGGTGCTGCAAGTTACTTTTTTGATGGAATTAGAGTGATTTGTGATCATGGGCTACCGAGGCTGATTCCATCTCAGCAACCTGCGCCCACCACTCAACCTTGCAGCACCACAAGGCTCTCCGAACCTCCGAGGGAAGGCTGCGGTAAGCCTCATTCTCTGACATGAGATGTTTCAGACGGCGAGAGTGGGTCTGTCGTTTTCTCTCAACCAGCCTGCACACCTCTTTCAGCCATGTTCTCTGAGGAGGTCTGGACTGCATAACCAATGCAGCCATTGCAACTGCTTCAGCCACAGTTGTGAACCTCATACCATTTTCCCTCAGCATCAAGAGCAGGGGTGGACGATGCCAAACGCAGCTAAAAGCGATGTTGAAATTCTCTCTTACAACTATCAGCATGCTGTCACCAGGCTATTTTGGGCTTGAATGGGGGGTCCTTGATGGACGCCCAACCCCCCCAGTCGAAAAATGGCAGGCACATCTTACGGATGACAAGCCGATGGTCAGTGGGCAGATCAGCTCCGCAGTAGGTCCTGGTGTTAAGGATATGGGCCGCATTTGCTGTTCGTCGCTATATAGTCCAGCAGATCTTCTTGCTTGGACCCAGCATACATACATGATGTTATGTGGATGCGCCGATGCTGAAACAGCCCATTGGTGTACACTATGGGGACCTCATTTGCCAGTAAAAATATGATAATTGGTTCTTTACCCTTCTATCTGGCAACAAAGCTGACACCTTTTTGCAAGGAGTCATGTTTGCATAGACCGCAATACCTGCATTATCAGAGTTATGTTCTTTTGTTTGTATTATGACTGCAGGTATTGCGGTCTATGCAAACATGACTCCTTGCAAAAAGGTGTCAGCTTTGTTGCCAGATAGAAGGGTAAAGAACCAATTAGCCTATTGGTGATTATAAGCCCATGGGCTGCACAGAAGTCTAGCAGTCTCTTACCAGTATTATTAAGCTGATCTGGCCCATGCCATCCAATCACTGGCCCTGGTATCTCTGACATTACCCACTCGGGCATTAAAGTCACCCAACAGGATGACTATCCTGAGGGCCAACTTTAGCAAGCACATGGGACAGGAGTTTATAGAAAGCATAGCAACCACCATTCCTCGCCTATTGTTTATGCGCGCGGTTACAAATCTCTTTGCTCAGTCTGTGCTATCCGCTGAGATCGTGACGAGTTTATTTTCTGTTGCTATATGCCCCTGTATTGTTCCCATTCTGTTGTAATGTGCACTGATGAACCTAACTACATACCTACACACAGCCTGAACCACCAAAGATCCCCTGTATAGCCACTAACAGACTGTTGGGGCAGGTGCTGTTAGCAAGCACCTATTAAGATCGTCACAGCCCACGAGGGGTTGGGTGGCCAACACCTTGCCCGGCCGCTTTTGTCTCCCAAGTGGCGATGTTTACACACCACTGCACCAGGTACTTATTTGAGGCTGAGTCGACCAAGGGAAGGCCCAGGACCGGTTCAGAGTGGACTCGACAACATCATGTTCAAGTCCCAGTCAACGTGGTAGTTCGATTACATTGGACGCATTTGAGTATTTTCCCCTTACGATGGAAGTTAATCTCACCAGGTTTTGCGTCTATCGAACCTGGGTCGACAGGTTCGTAGCGCAGCGCACTAACCGTTACACTACCACTGCACCACCCACATACAGGCTGCACCACTGCCTACACCACACACAGCCTGCACCACCCTCTTGATCACACTAGAACATCTCTCCCTACACCACACAAACGCACAAGTCAAAACGCACTCATAAAAGCCAAATTCACACAGTAACCAGTGTGTATGCCGGCACAGTGGACTCGACAACATCATGTTCAAGTCCCAGTCAACATGGTAGTTCGATTACATTGGAGATATTTGAGTATTTTCCCCTTACGATGGAAGTTAATCTCACCAGGTTTTGCAATTTCAGCTCCGGGGGGACACGTCGTGTGTGGCTTGCAATCCAGGCAGCTTTCCGGGCCGTCTTTGTGGCTGCAGTATGACCCCTCGTTGCACCCGCAGATGGCATCGGACGTAGCAGAGCAATGCCTCATGGGGTGCAGGTTATGGGCTGCAGTGGTGCCACATGTCCACCCAGCAACGTGTCAATTCACATTGTAACATCGAATACATATAATCAAAGAGTAACTGATGTTAATTCCAAGTATTTTCTAGAAAGGCTTGAAAATGAAATTTCCCATTTAGTCACATCCATGTTTACAGATACAAACATCCAAATATCTAGATTGTTTAATTTGGGCGCCCAAAATATACTATGCAAATGTAAAATATAAGGAATATGCATGCTTATTATTATTATATGAAAAAAAGATGTGCTGCACTCAAAATAAAACAAATAATATTCAGAATAGACTTGAGATGTACAGAGAGAAAAGTATTCATGTGCTGGACTCGAAAAGCTGAAGTCCTCACCCACTAGCCTCCCACCCCCAGCAACCCCCACCCTTCGCCTGTCCCACGCATACACGGCCTACACACTGACCAAGATAGCACCATTGCTGCCTTCCTGCATCATTCTCCCATGAAACTCATGATGAGAACCCAAACTATGAACTGTATAATAAACCACTGTAGTCTGCGCTCCTTTGACAGAGGATGAATGGCAAAACTACACAAACTCTCTCCTGCAGCCCTCTTCTGGCTAGCAAAGCTCGACATTGGCATTTAACTCCTGAAAGTTTTGTTGCCATGGACAAAATGTTTTTTATTAATTTAATTTCAAAGCTTTGAAGGGCCACGTTTAATCGCCAATTTGAATAATGCCTTGGGCAGGATTAAAAAGAGTCCGTGGGAAACACTGAGCACACGGGCAATAGTTTGGACAGCCCTGCCTTATGACATTAAAAAATTCCATGACCTTGGAAGGCCAGAAGCCCTGGAGAAATTACATATTAAAGTGATGATAAACTGGTGTTGACTTCGCAACAAGAGAGAGCGATGCCTAAATGAAACAAGCTGGCTGGGCTGTGTTGTGCCAGATGTAATCGAGGGCCGTGGTTTTTCGTGGGAAGTTCTCATACCATTGTCACAGATACGGCATTGTTTGCATTTTGTATTGGCAGAGGGCTCATCCAAATAGTTTCCATTGGAGCAGTCTTCACACACGGTGTCCGAGCTACTGGTGCAGTGGCTTTTCAGAAGCTTTCCTGTAGATACACACATATTATGCTTGTTACCAAATAAAGTCCCACTGACTCTCAAGACTTTTGCAGGCCAGTCCTGCCAAGTTTTTGCAGTGGTGGGTGTTGATAGCTATCTGTTTCCTACTTAAGTAATTTGCTCATAATGTTTCTAATTCAACATATTTGGACCATGACGCCAGCACACAATGGGCTGCTATTTTTGCCATTACATTATGCAATATTTTAAGTCCACAATTAAGCATATAGCCCTTATTTTCAAGATGAATACACCCGTAGTGTTAACCAGCGTAGCCTGCCAGACTAAAACCACAAACCTCTGCAACAAGCGGCGAAAGGGCTAATGCTGGGCCATGCCACATACATACATCCTGAGTATACCCTTACATCTTGTTGGGGCAAGTTCTGTTAGCAAACAGCTATTAAATACAATAAAAAAAGTAAAGATGGGTTTAAATCCATTCAGCTTGGAAGATAAACTTCATGTTATTTATATTTTGCAATGTTTCGTGTACAGTAATGCATTATTTTATGATGCCAATGCCGATAATGGTGGTGTAGTTTTAATAGTGGTCATGATTGTGGTGATTAAGATGATGATTTTGGTGATGGCAATGGTGGTGATGATGGCTCTAATGATAATAAAGTACCGGCTTGGCATTTCTTGCAGCAAATATCGTTGAGGAGATATTCATCAGCATGGCAAGATTTCCTCTTCAGTCTGACGAGGTGTCCATCCTGATACGTAAAAACAATCACTATCACGGCACCAGCTGCCCCATCTGACATGCACCGGGCCCGGTGGCCTCGGGATATGGTCTCCCTTCCCACTGTAGAGGTGGCCGATGCTGTGGCGATGAGGCAGAGTTGATGGATCAAGCAGAGATTACCATCTGATGTGAGACTGAAACCCCCTGGGCTCGGAGGTGACTGGATACCAATCGATAGAGAATCGATACATGGTGATATCCTGAACAGCAGCACAGTTCGAATGTTATCCCCTGACCCCGCTGATGAGATTCAGAGAAGTTGAATAGTCGGTTTACCTTAAGTGGCAAGGCACATGCTTCCCTGGTTCGTGTATGTTGTGCTGGTGTACACTTTGTTATGTTTAAACTCACAAGATGAATGGCAGTCTCCGTGTTCAGCGGGTCGACTGAAAAACACCACACCAAGGGTGTAATTACTATGAGGAGGAGGACCTGGATGTGCAACCGGGCCATGGTGGAGCCTCACTCTCCTGGATGGGATAGAAACAGTGACACATTTATACAGACACACATAAGTCAGTACACATTCATCGTCATATACGCACATCAATATGTATGCACATTCATATATATGCACACCGGCTGTAGTTCCAAGGCTACGAGGCACAAAATTTGCTTAAGTACAAATCCTGTTGCTGTAACCTGCCTCACTGTACTTGACATATTTGAACTTGAAGCAATCTCGTTGAAGCAATCTGATGATTCATCACTGACCGATTCACTCCAGTTACTCAGTTGCCATATTATCTATTGCTACTACTGTGGTTACTATTCCCGTGAACTTTACTCCATAGAGGCTGATCTTGACACTGCTGGTACCAATCATCGGCAAGTCCACTCAGCTCCACATTCTTCTATACCACATCAGCCCACCTCTTTTGTAGCCCGTGCCGTGCCTGTTTAGCCCCCTACTTCTGTCAAATTCCATCTCTGCCTTACCTAAAGGGGAGCTGATTATAATCACTGGCGACTTGAACTGGGTTTATCCTCTGACTGAAGCTCTTGCTTTGACAGTTGAATTCAACCTATGTCAGCTCATCTGTTTACGAGGCACATTCTAATATGAAAGTACCCTTGACCACTCATTAATCATTGATGTTCTCATGTCAAATGCTCCATCAAAGTTTGTAAAAGTGGGTGTCTTGAGAAAATCATCTTTGTGACCACTCAATATTGACATACAAAATTGCTTATAGTCCCATTTAAGATAATGTATAAATGTTCTTTTAATTCCTTAGACCACCAGGCCTTCAGCCACATAGCTAATTATAACCTACCTAACATCTGTAAGATTTCCATATTGGGCACCGCTTGGCCTTCGACCTTTTCAAACATGCCCCGTTAATGAAGCCCCCTGGTTCAAGCCATGTATTGCCCATCTCACCTGCTCAAGAAACGTAGCTTAGAAACTCGCTAAGCAAACCGGGTTGGACTCAAACTGGACCAACCATAGAGTCCTAATGGCTCGTTGCACCAAATTAGATTGGCAGACAAAATACTCATTTTCAAGATACTTTTTGGGATTCAAAACATGATCCCACACTTTTCTGGAAAGCCATAAAGACCCTTGTAGGTAAAACGTCTGAATACTGACTACTGCCGAGGCTTTTGCTCAATGGCAGTTGCCTTTCTGATGAAACTGCAATTGCGAATGGGTTTAATTCACACTTTAGATCTGCAGGCCACAGCTTCACCACCGACATCCAAGCTTGTGACACCGCGATTCACATGCCTCTTAACTGACCCTCCGCACTCCACCCTAATCAGAAATGTAATTTCCTCTCAGTTTCAGAATTTGAAATGCTAACCTTGTTCACCACGCCAAAACCTTCCTCTGGTGATGGTGCCGATGGTCTCCCCCAGCTTTGCCCCCCAGCTTGTGGAAAACTTCATTGCAAAACCGATAGCACAAACAGTATATTCAGCCTTTCCATTAAATAACATTCATCCCTCCAGAATGAAAAACTGCTCTCGTGCGTCCGAGTCATAAAGGTGGCACTAGAGATGACCCTAACAAATACCGCCCTATCTCAATCCTCCCCTCTCATCCAGATCTTTGAGAAGATATAAAAATCACACGCCACAAATTTCATCTGAGAATATGCCATATTCCATAACACAGCCTCTGTGGTACTCAATACTCATGACTTTATCTCCAACAGTCTTGAATCTCGTCATTGTGGAATCATCTTCCTCAACTCTTCTAAAGTATTTGAACCTGTGCACAAAAGGCAAAAATTCTGAAATTCTATTGTTTGCAACTTATCTGACCAATTTAAAATTGTCTCCATCAATAATAACACTATGTAGCACAATTTTTGTTCCTGGGTAGTGTTATTTCGTAATTTCTTATGCCTAAAAAGTATAGAAAATGGCTATTATTCCCTACAAACTTTGCTTTTGTGACTAGGAGAGTGATATTTTGAAATTTACCTATTTTCAATGAAAAAACAGGCGAATTTGTGTATTTTCATTCACATAAAGTCAGAAAAAAACATGAATCAAAATTAACATGTATTTATACTACAGTAATACAAAAACTACTACGACAGATTTAGAAGTGAGTCGTTTTTGAGATTTATGATTATACTGTAAATAACTTTCACGAATCAGCCCCCAAATGTTGTTATACTGTCCTTGGTAGCGGCGTTGAAAGTTCAGTATATCCTAATCTCAGCTTGTTACCTGTATAAAAGACACCTGTTCACAGAAGCAATCAATCAATCAGATTCCAAACTCTCCACCATGGCCAAGACCAAAGAGCTCTCCAAGGATGTCAGGGACAAGATTGTAGACCTACACAAGGCTGGAATGGGCTACAAGACCATCGCCAAGCAGCTTGGTGAGAAGGTGACAACAGTTGGTGCGATTATTCGCAAATGGAAGAAACACAAAAGAACTGTCAATCTCCCTCGGCCTGGGGCTCCATGCAAGATCTCACCTCGTGGAGTTGCAATGATCATGAGAACGGTGAGGAATCAGCCCAGAACTACACGGGAGGATCTTGTCAATGATCTCAAGGCAGCTGGGACCATAGTCACCAAGAAACCAGTACGCCGTGAAGGACTGCAATCCTGCAACGCCCGCAAGGTCCCCCTGCTCAAGAAAGCACATATACATGCCCGTCTGAAGTTTGCCAATGAACATCTGAATGATTCAGAGGACAACTGGGTGAAAGTGTTGTGGTCAGATGAGACCAAAATGGAGCTCTTTGGCATCAACTCAACTCGCCGTGTTTGGAGGAGGAGGAATGCTGCCTATGACCCCAAGAACACCATCCCCACCGTCAAACATGGAGGTGGAAACATTATGCTTTGGGGGTGTTTTTCTGCTAAGGGGACAGGACAACTTCACCGCATCAAAGGGACGATGGACGGGGCCATGTACCGTCAAATCTTGGGTGAGAACCTCCTTCCCTCAGCCAGGGCATTGAAAATAGGTCGTGGATGGGTATTCCAGCATGACAATGACCCAAAACACACGGCCAAGGCAACAAAGGAGTGGCTCAAGAAGAAGCACATTAAGGTCCTAGAGTGGCCTAGCCAGTCTTCAGACCTTAATTTCATAGAAAATCTGTGGAGGGAGCTGAAGGTTCGAGTTGCCAAACGTGAGCCTCGAAACCTTAATGACTTGGAGAAGATCTGCAAAGAGGAGTGGGACAAAATCCCTCCTGAGATGTGTGCAAACCTGGTGGCCAACTACAAGAAACGTCTGACCTCTGTGATTGCCAAACAAGGGTTTTACCACCAAGTACTTAGTCGTGTTTTGCAAAGGGGTCAAATACTTATTTCCCTTATTAAAATGCAAATCAAGTTGTAACATTTTTGACATGCGTTTTTCTGGATTTTGTTGTTGTTATTCTGTCTCTCACTGTTCAAATAAACCTACCATTAAAATTATAGACTGATCATTTCTTTGTCAGTGGGCAAACGTACAAAATCAGCAGGGGATCAATACTTTTTTCCCTCACTGTATATTTTTTCAATAACAAAAAAAATAGTAAAACATTTTAAAATAAAAAACTTTTACAATTTTTGTTACAAATTTTATAACATTAAATTCCGAGCAACAATTGTCCATCTGCATTGCTAGCAGGTGAAATGAGGTGCCCAGGGTTTGTCTTGATCCCCAACAGGCATGCCGAAATATGCCTTGTAGGCCTCACACATCTTAGCAGATGCTTCCACAGAAAACTTTTTCGCTCTCGTCTTGATACATTGGCCGCAGACATGACAAAATGCGTCTGCCGCATGCTTGCAGCCTCTTGATGCTATCTCAGAAAAATGCACATATGTATCCACTGAGGCAGCTGGAATTAAACTGAACTGGTGAGCTTAAGGCCCCTGTATTTATACTACTATTTATATTACTGGTAAGTTCTAGAATGTTCGAGAAGTCACTCTCAAGTCTACTTAGCACTGAATCTATCTGTAATGTTCTGGAAAATAGGTAAATTTTAAAATATAACTGTCCTCGTCACAAAAGAAAAGTTTGTGGGGAATAATAGCCATTTTCTGTACTTTTGAGGCATAAGCGATTCGGAAATTACACTTACTACCCAGGAACAAAATAACTATTATTACAGTGTAATCTATCATCTGTCAGAACCCTCATATCTAAGGGAGTTACTTAGGTGTTAAACAAATCCACCAATTGCCCAAATGACCACTTAGTTCCTCTAACTCCTCGTAGACTCAGATTTGCCTCCTTATTCCTCCTGATAATTCTACTCGCTAAAACTTTGGTTAAAAAAAATCCGTGTTGCTTCTCCACATTTCTCGAATACCCGAGCAGCTCATCCCCAGTTTGGTTTCCTCCCTTCACGTCTTCTTCTTGTTCCCCAATTAAGCCAAAACACAGTGCTTGCAACTTTATCTATTTCTGGTGCCTCTTGCTTATACGTTTGCACTTTTTCGAATCACGTGTTTGTGTCACTCTTAGACAAAAGTCTTGCATTTACTTGCACATGTACCTACGTTTTTCTGTAACCTTTGGTTGTATTTTGTTTTTTGTTGTCGCTGTTCTCACGCACCACAGGTCCCCCTTGTAACTGGCCACAAATGAAGCGAACCCAAACTCCTCTATCCAGCCAAACATGGCTGGGCAAGTGGGCTACGTGACCAACACAAGACAGCCTCGCCTGCCGTAGGAACTCAGACACATTGACATACACAATAGGGGGTTCCCCCTTTTTTCTGGCAACACAACTGAAACCTTTTAACAAGGAATCATGTGTGCATTATTTTAGTACTGGCAAAGCAGGTCTAATGATGTAGATTGACATACATATTGACACACGCACGAACACCAAAGACCCCGTAGAGCCTGAACAGACACTCGCGCACCCCGCACGCACTCACCGGCTCTTGGCGAAGGGTCTGAAGCAGCGGCTTCGAGCGGGCACGACGCGACCCTGCGTCTGTATAATCACCGTCTCTGTCTGTGTGAGCACCGTCTCTGTCTGTGTGAACACCGTCTCTGTCTGTGTGAACACCGTGTCTGTCTGTGTGAACACCGTCTCTGTCTGTGTGAACACCGTGTCTGTCTGTGTGAACACCGTGTCTGTCTGTGTGAACCCCGTGTCTGTCTGTGTGAACACCGTGTCTGTCTGTGTGAACACCGTGTCTGTCTGTGTGAACCCCGTGTCTGTCTGTATAATCACTGTGTCTGTCTGTATAATCACTGTGTCTGTCTGAACACCGTGTCTGTCTGTGTGAACCCCGTGTCTGTCTGTGTGAACACCGTCTCTGTCTGTGTGAACACCGTGTCTGTCTGTGTGAACCCCGTGTCTGTCTGTGTGAACCCCGTGTCTGTCTGTATAATCACTGTGTCTGTCTGTGTGAACACCGTGTCTGTCTGTGTGAACCCCGTGTCTGTCTGTGTGAACACCGTGTCTGTCTGTGTGAACCCCGTGTCTGTCTGTGTGAACCCCGTGTCTGTCTGTATAATCACCGTGTCTGTCTGTGTGAGCACCGTCTCTGTCTGTGTGAACACCGTCTCTGTCTGTGTGAACACCGTGTCTGTCTGTGTGAACACCGTGTCTGTCTGTGTGAACCCCGTGTCTGTCTGTGTGAACACCGTGTCTGTCTGTGTGAACCCCGTGTCTGTCTGTGTGAACCCCGTGTCTGTCTGTATAATCACCGTGTCTGTCTGTGTGAGCACCGTCTCTGTCTGTGTGAACACCGTCTCTGTCTGTGTGAACACCGTGTCTGTCTGTGTGAACACCGTGTCTGTCTGTGTGAACCCCGTGTCTGTCTGTGTGAACCCCGTGTCTGTCTGTATAATCACTGTGTCTGTCTGAACACCGTGTCTGTCTGTGTGAACCCCGTGTCTGTCTGTGTGAACACCGTCTCTGTCTGTGTGAACACCGTGTCTGTCTGTGTGAACCCCGTGTCTGTCTGTGTGAACCCCGTGTCTGTCTGTATAATCACTGTGTCTGTCTGTGTGAACACCGTGTCTGTCTGTGTGAACCCCGTGTCTGTCTGTGTGAACACCGTGTCTGTCTGTGTGAACCCCGTGTCTGTCTGTGTGAGCACCGTCTCTGTCTGTGTGAGCACCGTTTCTGTCTGTGTGAACCCCGTCTCTGTCTGTGTGAACACCGTCTCTGTCTGTGTGAGCACCGTCTCTGTCTGTGTGAACCCCGTCTCTGTCTGTGTGAACACCGTGTCTGTCTGTGTGAACCCCGTGTCTGTCTGTGTGAAAACCCTGTTTCTGTCTGTACGCTGTGTGAGCACCGTGTCTGTATAATCACCGTGTCTGTGTGAGCCCCGTGTCTGTCTGTGTGAGCACCGTGTCTGTATAATCACCGTGTCTGTGTGAACACTGTGTCTGTCTGTGTGAGCACCGTGTCTGACTGTGTGAACACTGTGTCTGTATAATCACCGTGTCTGTGTGAACACTGTGTCTGTCTGTATAATCACTGTGTCTGTCTGTGTGAACCCCGTGTCTGTCTGAACACCATGTCTGTCTGTGTGAACACTGTGTCTGTCTGTCTGTGTGAGCACGGTGTCTGTCTGTGTGAACACCGTGTCCGTGTGAACACCGTATCTGTCTGTATAATCACTGTGTCTGTCTGTATAATCACTGTGTCTGTCTGTATAATCACTGTCTGTCTGTGTGAGCACGGTGTCTGTCTGTGTGAACACTGTGTCTATGTGAGCACCGTGTCTGTCTGTGTGAGCACGGTGTCTGTCTGAACACCGTGTCTGTCTGTGTGAACCCCGTGTCTGTCTGTATAATCACAGTGTCTGTCTGTGTGAGCACGGTGTCTGTCTGTGTGAACACTGTGTCTATGTGAGCACCGTGTCTGTCTGTGTGAACCCCGTGTCTGTCTGAACACCGTGTCTGTCTGTGTGAACCCCGTGTCTGTCTGTATAATCACTGTCTGTCTGTGAACACCGTGTCTGTCTGTGTGAACCCCGTGTCTGTCTGTCTGAACACCGTGTCTGTCTGTCTTGAGCCCCGTGTCTGTCTGTGTGAACCCCGTGTCTGTCTGTGTGAACACCGTGTCTGTCTGTGTGAACCCCGTGTCTGTCTGTCTGAACACCGTGTCTGTCTGTCTGTGTGAGCCCCGTGTCTGTCTGTGTGAACCCCGTGTCTGTCTGTGTGAACACCGTGTCTGTCTGTGTGAACCCCGTGTCTGTCTGTCTGAACACCGTGTCTGTCTGTGTGAACCCCGTGTCTGTCTGTATAATCACTGTGTCTGTCTGTGTGAACCCCGTGTCTGTCTGTGTGAACCCCGTGTCTGTCTGTGTGAGCACACGAACACGGTGTCAACAGAACGCGCGCGATTGGAAATCCCCGTCCGTCTCAGAGGGCGGTAGCTGTGCCCACGTGACCCCCCCCGCCCCGTGCGCTGCTTCCTCGTGCGTTGCGACCACGCTTAGCCCAAAACGTCGCCCCGCGTCGCCGTCGCTCTCTGAGCGCAACGCAGGCGGTGCCGCTGCTGCTGTTGTTGTTGGTGCCGCTGATGCTGTTGTTGTTGATGCCGCTGCTGCTGTTGTTGTTGGTGCCGCTGATGCTGTTGTTGGTGCCGCCGCTGCTGTTGTTGTTGGTGCGCGTGTCCTGCTGCGCCCCCCCCCCCCCCGCTGGCAAGGCTTGGACGAGGCGGCCGCCTTCCCACTCCGCACCTCGTTGTGTCTTCTTCACGTCCTCCTGTAACGCCGCTCGCTCTGTTCTCGATTTTTTTTGGTTACCGAGGTCACTTGCGGATGAGACTCACCTCGCCCTTGAGTTCCCTGCAAGTTAAACATTGACTTGCACCGGCTGCTGATGATGCTGATGTATTTACATGCTGATTATCGGAACTTCTGAGAAGTGGTTTACATTTGCTTACAGTGCAAACTAAACTTTCATTTTTAGACTTAACTTGCGTGACTGCAGGAATTCATTTTCTTGGTTCTTTCTGTAAAGTCACGTAAATAGAAAACAAACAAGAAAATTTAAAACTCCTTTAAAAAAGTTTTTAAAAACGATTCTATTCACAACTTCGTTTAACTCACGGTCTAGAAGTACGTAAATGATGCGCCTGCTCCCACATCAACGCTTGTTTATTTTATAAATTAATCTTAAATGTACAACTTTTGTTTGTGTGGAGTGAGGGTGCCGGAACTCGTCGGCACGTGGCGCCTGCTTCTTGGGCGAGGCGATTCGAGAGTTTAGGGACCGCGGCGTCTTGGACCTACCCAAATAAATATTTAATTAATACGCCGTCCATACAAAATGTTAATTGCTTTAAAAGAGCCAATTAATGCATTAGTTGCTGCCGATTTTGATACAGACATGCATTGTCACCGGATCTGAGTCCGTGTGCAACATTTAGAATTCATTGGACAACAGGAAGTCGACTAAATGTTGGTTACATGATTTGACCACGACACGGGAGTCGAGTTAAGTAAAACCGTTGAATGAAAATATTAATTATTTTTATTGTATCTTATTTTTTGTTTTCTATTTACGTGACTTTACCGAAAGAACCAAGAATATAAACTTTAATTTCCTCTTTTTTTAAAAGAGGAATAAGTGCATAGCAAGGCGTTGTTCGGCCAGTTGGTGGTGGGTCACAGAGTCGCCACGCACTGCGACGACTCCCATAATGCGAAGGCAGTACAGCAAATGGGTTGCTGTCCTGTCTGGATGTTTAAACATTTGTCTGCTCATTCTCGCGACTGCTCCAGTACCCCACCACCCCCAGTTTCCTCCCACGCACAAAAGAGGTGGCCAAACATCGTCAATGCAGGGCCGTCTTGAGAGACAATTATTGAAACTCCGCGACGTTCTGCTGGGTTCGTGCTGCGTTCACCCCTCTTCTTCACGCGAGTGGGTTGATGTCAACGCGAGTGTCCAAGGTTGTGTCCATGCACTCAAATCACACACCTCTCAAAAGCATGCACGTGCATCGTATTTTTATCAGTTTGTGAAACACTGTACAAGCTAACCAACATATGCCTTTTAATAGTTATAACACGAACCTATTGTAGGATCAATAACGCAAGGTTCTGCCGGGGATGGTGACCTCATCTCTTCATTGGTTTTCCCATTGAGAGGAGTCCCCGAAGTGTCCGAAGAACCCCCACGCGGTCTCCGGGATGACGCTCGCCCCCCCTCCACTGTCCCCGGCGTCCCGGATCCTCTGCACCCTCCGGCGTCTCCGTTGCGCACAGCAAGGCAGCGCTGTCCGTGCCTGTGGCGTTTGTGTTCAGCTGTAGACCCAGTGACGCAAGCAGCACCGGGAGGGAAACTTACACCCATTGTGCAATAAACTACCGCAGAAGCGAGCAGCGTCATCTCCGCATCCGACACGCGCACTGCCGGAACTTTGGCCAGCAATACAAACAGCAATTGGACCCACGGGGGGACTTCCCCAAATGGAACCGGCTGGCTCGCGATGCTCGTACAGGACGAGCTGCCGGCTACGCTCTGGCCCCACAGCCCCCAGCGAGAACTCACGACCCCGGGTGGGAATTCCCGTGCGTGCACCACCGGTGAAGAACCGAACTCTCCCAGCCCTTCGCCGCTCGCCGTCAACATACGTGGCTGTGTCACGGGGCCGTCCCACCAAAGCACGTGCATCTGTCGCCCTGCTCATATCCACTGCCAGCGCTGACAATTCCACGTTCTTATGGCAGAAGCCATAAGCGAGCCTTCCCTGAATCGGGTACTACAGTACTCCATTGATTGACCCCGGAAGAATTCGGGATGCCGTCAACGTAGTACAGTCCAACTATAGATTTTGCTGCACTGCCCTCTGCTGCTCACTACGTAGCCCTGCAGCCAACAACAACACTTGTGCATTTCCCATAGCATATTTATGGGAAATGCAGATATGCGATTAGTACTACTTGTGAAATGCGTAGGAGGTTTGGCGAGGGGTTTAAAGTCATTATGCCCATGCATTATGCAGGATTAGCAGTATCAAAGGGAGGGAGTAAGGTTAGAATTAATAAAGGGAAGGAATGTTAATAATATGGCGCCGCAGCAACTAATATGCTTATAGACTATACATTGTAATATTACACTGTATTATTCTACCCACCCAACTGTATACCACACTGCTATATATTCGGACGGATGCATCATCTCCTAATGTTGCCTTGCCGGTGTCTGTCGCGACCCACGCGCCATTGACTTTGCCTGTTCAACCTGCAAGCGCGCCTGTCGTGCCTCCTGTAGACGGACCGGTGGTGATCCTGCCAGACATGGTGATTCCTGCTCCGGGTGGGCCTACCACGGCGACGGGGACACTTGACCCCGCTGCCCCTACAACCCCACCTCGGGCGCAGTTGCGGGAGGGCTCGATGACGGGCCTCTTTGGGGAACGGGACGCTGGGAGTGACGGGCCTCCAACAGCGGCGGGCGGTTCCAGTCCCGCCGCTCCTAAAACCCCGTCGAGGCCACGGTCCGCACGGGGGGGCAACCCCGTGCAGGACAGTCCGGCGACTCGCACGCGTTCGAAATCCCTTCTCTTTCGTTAATTGTTATTCTTCTTCTCTCCGTTGTCTTCTCATGCCGGTGTGTCATGTGTTGCTCGCATTATTGTTGTTCTGTTGCAGCCGAGGACGACTGGCTTTTTCATCAGGGGGGGTAGTGTAATGCGAGCAAGGACAGGGTGGGCGCTGCCTCCGCACCACTCACACGGGCCGGTGTATTGGAAGGGCGGAGCCTGGTCGTTGGGGTGAGTGGGGGCGGCGACATGGGCGGGATGAGAAGGTGGAGTTGGGTCACGTGAGAGAGGGGATATAAGGAGAGAGACGGAGGAGGAGCAGGGGGGAGAAGAGAGTGAACGACGGAGGAAGCCACGCTGGCGGTGGAGGGAGAAGTGGCGCCATTGCCACGTGGTCGGGGCCGATAGGCGTACTGGGATCCAGCGCGCGTGGGCAGCGGAGCGTGTGGGACCGCACGGAGAGAGAGAGAGAGAGCCAGCAGCGTGTGCGGGGTAACCGAAGGGCGGTGTGGCCCAGGCGGGTGAGGAGAGAGCACACGGAGGGGCCGGAGGAGACGGCACGGCGAGAGCCACACGGAGCGTGCGCGGGGCGCACGGCGAGAGAGAGAGAGAGCCACACGGAGCGTGCGCGGGACCAGCGGGTGCGAGGAAAGAACCCAATAAAGGACCAACGGAGAGCGACATCTTGTGAAGGAGTCCTTTATTACACTGGTGTCAGAAGTGAACCAAGATGTCTAGGCATCTTAAAAAGAAGTACGTACCTGCACCATCCTCGGACGACGAAGACGAGCTTCCAATTGAGGCGGGGGTCCCGACGATGGAAGGAGGGGGCGAAGTGCGGACAGGCGACACGCCGGGGGTGCAAGAAATCGTCGGCGCCGCGGGGCCGTCTGCTTCCACGGGCGCCGAGGATGGCTGGCGGCACGTGACGGCTCACCTCGAGTTACTGCGGGCCACGCTGACACAACTGTGTGCCCTGGTGACGACGGTGGGGAGTCCGGATCGCCCGATCGGGGAGCCGTCTGCCATTGGGGTCGCGGGGCACTTCCCGCCCTCTCCGCCACGCGGCAAGATGCCGCCATCTTGGGCAGGGCCGGGGACGAAGCGCGAGAAGCCGCCATCTTGTCGCCGCGGAAAGCCGCCATCTTGTCGCCGCGGGAAGCCGCCATCTTGTCACCGCGGGAAGCCGCCATCTTGTCTCCGCGGGAAGCCACCATCTTGGCTATGCGGGAAGACGCTATTGTGTTGCCACTGCGTCAAACACCGTCGGCGGAGTACGGCGAGTCAGGGACCCGCATCCATCGGCTGACGACGCTCAAGGAATTCTCCATTGGCGGCGACTGGAGTGCGTTCGCCTGCCGCTTTGAGGCGGCAGTCCGCTCTGCAAAATGGACGGATGCGGAGGCTCTAGAAGTGCTGCCGACGCTTCTGGATGACGAATCGGTCACATTTTTCTGCTCCATTAAAGCCGCGAGAAAGACCACGCTGAAGGCTGTATTTGAAGAGATGGCGGAAGCTTATGAGCCCCCGGACGATGCCCATCGCAGGTTTATTCAACGGTAACGGGCTCCGGAGGAATCTCCCGTGGCTTACCAGGGTGCCGTCTTGGAATTGGCTATGGCCGCATACCCGGACACGGAGCCTGACTTGCTAGAGCCTTTGATTTTAGGAAAAATGTTGGAGCTGTCCAGGGATTTGGGCATCCCCATGCCTGTGTGCGGCCACGAACAACTGACCTCCCGGATAGCGGCTAAGTGCCTGGACGCGCAATTCAACCTGCGCCGGTGGAAGCAAGTGACAGCCTGGACGGGGAGCCCCAAGATCGAGGGCGGTGCCACGGGATGGGACCCG